CCCCCCCCCAACAAAACCAAAAAATCCTGCAAATCCACGACTGATGAATCTTTAAAAGCAAAACATCATGCTTCAAGTAGCACTTATTCAACAAATGCAATTTTTGCCATCAATTTTATATGAAGCTGTCTGGGACACCATATCCTCAGCAACTTCCTGTCTGTCTGTCTGTCTGTCCCCCCTCCCCCAAAACCGAACCAAAACAAAGACACATGCATTTCTAAAACTAGGTTTCAGTCAAGTACTTTCTACTTTTTGGAAAGAAACTTTTTTTGTTCGCAATCAGAACATAACCGTGGGCACTAGATCCTGTATTCCTTGCTCAGGCAAAAGTCCTGTTGAGTTTGGTAGGCTTTCCACCCAAGAAAAAGTGCAGGATCAGCCACTAGGTATGTAGGTTCCTATTCATTCTATACTGCTCCCCTCATGCTAAAAGCTAAGGAGTAGGGGGGAAAAAAAATAACAACTCTCATCTTGAATCAAGTAAGAATAATTCTCCAGGCTCAATGTAGTATGTAACTATTTCACCTCTGCTTGCAAAAAGATGCAAGAACAGACATCACTCCCTCCCACCATACCAAAAAGAGTGTGCGCGTGCACACACACACACCACAGTGTGTGGGGGGGGCTGCGCAGCAGCAATCTTAACAGAAAGTTACTGGTGCAAGACAGATAGATGTTAATATAACAAGCAACAGAACAGTTATGGGGACCAACATGTTTGGCCCACAAGCTGCATAGCCGCGTCGTAAGTTTGTTTCTTTAGTTAAAAAAAATTAAAACTTGTTATTTCTGCATGTTTAACATTTAGAAAAATTATATTCACAAGAACTCTTTTCCCTGTCCCCCTCCCTTTTGGAAAAAAAAAAAAGCAACTAATTTTACATGAGAAAGTTAATTGTGTTGTTTCTGTAACACCTCAGGTTGATAAGAAATAAACATATGGCAAACAAAACCACATAGTCACATGAAATCTATCAAATCCTAAAATTATAGTTGAATACTAACAAACAGCTTACCTGGAATAAAGGATGGCAATTCACAAACAGTTATCTAGAAATTAAAGTCAGTCTCTCTCTCTCTATTTTTTTTTTTTTTTTACTAAAATAATTAAAAAAAAATCACAGTATTTTAAGAAATAAAACCCACAGTGGGATTTTAAGCACAATTTGTTTTCCTTTCTTTAAAACTTTTTTCTTTCTCCATTCACCACCTTGTCCACCAGTCTCTCTACATTTAATCACAATGACAACAGGCAGTACTGACAAATGCAGAGATCTCCCTTCATTAATTTTGAGGTACTAGGAAACAGGTGGCTGTTTTAAGCAAAGCAGTTTCTGGGTTTTTTTTGTTTTCTTTTCTAAAGCAGTTGCATTCAGTCTGGAAAATCATAATGTATTCAAATTAGAAAAATGCACTCAAATTTGTGCGTTGCCAAGTAACCCCCCACACGCTCCTGATGCTTCTGTTTGCAATCAATTCAAGTCTCCACTGCAAAGCGCACTGTGTAATGTAGAGACACAGGGAGTTGCTTCATTAGTCCAAGATGATGTAACTTCTCATTGTCATGATCCGGAAGAAAAGATGCAGTGATGTAATGGAGCCACTTATTCCATCATTTAAATAACTTTAATATACACACACTCACACAGGTACCAGTGCTTTGAAAATAGATCATTCAGTCCTAAAAGCAGCTTTGTTTCTTCCTTCTGCCCACCCCACCCAACCCCATTCATCATTGTTCAAGTAAGTTAATTAAAATCACATCAAATGCTTATTCATTTTTGGCCTCCGAGTTCTCTTGGAGAGGTTTGTCAGCAGCTACAACACTGACTGCAGTTTCATTTTTTTGGGAAAAGTCCACCACCATTTTCTCAATGCTTTCCTTTTCTTCTACTAGCAGTGTATTAACAATCTCTTCTGTGCTCTCCTTCAGCTTGCTGTCCTCTCTGATCCCTCGCTTACTTTCATTCAGAGCCCTGAAATTCCAAACAGCAGAAAACAGAAACCTTTACAATCCAAATATGCTTTGTGTACAAGGAAATAGGGAGAGTACTTCTCCCACACAGTTAACAAACCAATACATCTTATTAAAACTTGCAACATTTCAAGTACTCTTATTTAAACAGACAAGATAAGAAACAATACTTTCTCGTACCCTTTATCCCTCCACAGCCTAGCTACAATATTACATTTGAATGTCTTCCACATGCCAGTAATCCTGGCTGAGATCTCCTCTTTGAAGAAACTCTAGTCAGCAAAGACATCCATTCTATTGACCAGATCTTTGTCAAAAGAAGGAAAATGAATGTTCCTGAGATGCCTATCATTTCACAGCATGGACTGATATTTACAAGTGTGAAAGGCAAAGATCTTTGCTATTAACTTTACTGTGTGCTTTTTGGGGAGAGAGCACTCTTATTGAGATTTTCCTTCCCTTGAAGGCCTTGACACTTCTCTGTGCGTAATTCTCTGCACTGGCACTCCAAGTTTAGTTGCAAGCATGCTAAAAAGAAATGATAAGGAAGAGAAAAGACAACCCCCCTCCCACCCCCAGATTCCATATAATTTGCTGCCATTTTCATGCTGCTCTACTGGCAAGCAAACATCAACAGTAGACTCAAGTAACATTAGTCTTGGGCCAACAAACTGGTATTCACCTTGGAATGATGCTTAAGCTTCAGGATCACAGTTAAGAACATTTATGTGCTACATTTGGATTCAATAACACTACATTTTAACTCCAAAATGGAGGGAATTTCTGGAGATGATCTGTATTCTTGAACCCCCTGACCATCTGTGGATAAAAGTTTATTTCAGTTTGAGGTCTGATCTAGACCTGAAACTATATTTGGATATATGAAGCAATTCAGGTATAGGTCTTAAAAAAAAAAAAAAACCAACCCCAACAGTTCAACAATTAACAGTTACCTTGGATTTCTGGGTTCCTGGGTCAAACAGGACAAGCAGGAGCATCTAGTTGTCTAAATACATCTGAGAATTGCATCTAACAATGCTTGTGGTAGACAGAATTCTTTCCTTGTTAGAATAATCTGTCATATCCCTATATTTGCTTTCATTACAGGTTTTTTGAGGGGGAGGGGAAGAATGGGTGGCTAAATGCACAAAGATTTACTGTTACATTTGCATTTGGCTGTTATTCAAAGAAGTCTGTAAACCAACTTACATGCCATGCCTCAGCACATGTCGTTCCCACTCAGAGCCCTCTGTAAACGATCGGCCGCAGAACTCGCATGGAAAGCGCTTCTCTGGAGCTTTGCTGTCAGGAAACATCATGGAATCTGGGAGAGAACAAAATTATCTGTAAATTCATGAGCATCAGGGCAAAAAAGGACCTTTATGATTATATTTTGATCTCTTCTGCTGCCCTTCAGGGAGAAAAAGCATCCCTAAGAAGCAAAAAGATTTTCCCTTCAAATACTGTAGGTATTTGTGAAAACACTCCCCCTCCATCCTAAAAAGTCAAGGTGTGAAAATTCCATAACCACCAGTGTGAGCAAAGGTCAATTAACTACAATATGGAAATGGGGCAGGGGGTGATGACTTTCAAAATAATGGAGCGTGCGTCCCGTTTAGACACCTACATGAACATCCAAGGTTTTGTATGAATACCTATAAGTGAACTGAGATGCTCTGAAGTGACCAGGATTTCAAGAAGCTATAAATGCATTCTGAGAAGTCCAAGCCCAGCTCACTCCCCCATCCCCATTTACAACCCAGAATAACATCTGAAGAGTCCCATCCTCCATCTTAAGTCTGTTATATCTATTTGCAGAGATGTTTTATTGCTCCCTGTCCCTGTATTTGAACAAATGAAGGGATTGTGGGGTTTTACTTCAAAACCAACACTGAGAATTTAGTGCAGAAATAGCTTGAAAGCAAAACCAAACAGAACACTTGAGTCCACATGTAATTTTCAAGTCAGTGGTGCAAATTTTAGGAAATGGAGATTTGGTATATTTGGCATCTGATCCTCATAAGAAATTGCCATCCCCTCAACATGAAGTCTCATGGATAAGAGAATATCACTGAATATGACTGTATCTTAACTGCATAGGCATTTCATCCAATTCTAATCTTTTAGAGATCTTTTAGAGAAAAAGATTTGGGGTCTCATTTGCAGAAGTATTAAGCACCTAGCTTTACAACCAGTCACTGGCAGCTGAGGGGATAGCATTTCTGAAAGCCAAGCCCCATGTGAACAGAGCCATCTTTAACAAAGAGATGAAACATTTTCAACAAATTAAGATCACCACATAAGCCTTTAAAAAAAATTGCATGGACCATCTTACTTCATTCTTTTTGCTAGAAATGAGACAGAGCATCTGCTCAGAGCATTAATTTCTTAGCAGGAATTATCTTAATCAAGAAATCAACAGAATGTCTTCCTGACTCCTCCTAAATTACATAATGAAAGAAAAGGGATTTTGCTTCATTTCAGTTCTTATATCTACTCACTTGATTTCTTCACTCTCAAATTTACTCCATTCAAGATCAACCTATAAACTCAAAGCTATCCATGTACTCACTCTTCTCCATATGTAAGTTCTGTAAAGGTATTTTCGCTATATGTTTCTCACTGGCTGCCCTTTAATAAAGTTGTTTACATCTATTTTTTTTATCCCCTCCATCCAGAAGAAACAACTCATTTCATATTTCCTAGCATCAGTAATTTACTATGTGGTTAAACATCAACAAAGCAAGGTCCCCTCCTGATATGAGCAACAGAAAAGTCAATGCCATTGGCTCAGTTTACATCCAGATCTGACCCCTACAGTTAATAACATATACATGGTAGAAATTTATAAATACCACTGAAACGCATTGTCCCTGTACCATGACTAGTCCAACACCTATGGAGGGTAGAAGTTTTGGAGGCAACAGCTGCTCTTCTGTGCAAGAACAAATCTAGAGTATAGTAGATAATAGGAAATTTATTCTGGAACTATGCAGAGGAGAGATATACACAATAGAGCCTATTTTGCTCAAATTAATAGGGAGGATCTATACTTGTAACTCCCATTAACAAGGGCTAATCTAGTAAAACTGTTATCCCTTCAGAACAGAATATTCTGCCCCCCTACTTCCCCATGACTCCCTGATTAGTTTGGTTTCTAGGATTGCAAATACAGACTGCCTCCCTGGAAGAGTAATCAGGCCCTGCACTTACCTGGGACCTACAAAAGAGGGGTAACATATTGCATAGACACCTGACCTGCCTTTGATTTTCCTGCATTACACATATGCACAGACACATGCACACTTATTTTTGTTAACTGCAGAAAAAAAAAACAAAACAGAAAAAGATTAATGTTTCTTTTAAGAGTAAGATATAAAAGGTCAGTAAAGACAAACAGTCCATCTAGGATGCAACTTTCAGCAAGAACAGCTGCTCTTTCCTGGGAATATCTCAGACAAATAACTTAATTTTTTTCTACCCTCATCTTCTTCCTTCCAGGTCCATATATTTTCAGCTGTCCTTTACCAGCAACCAACCATTCCTTTCCATTCCCACCTGACATAGCAGTTCAGCTCTGCTAAGAAGGCATGCCCAACTCCTCCTCCTCCAAGGAGGAATAATGATTCTTTGGTCCAGCATCCCAACAGCCCATTCTTTGCAAGAATGCACCTGAAGTATAGCAGACATCAGTCTCAAGCTGTTAATTTAGGCCGCAGTTTGACTCACAGGAAGAAATCCTGGCTCTGCTGAAGTCACGGACTTCAGAAGATTGAGCCTGCATTTCCTCCCAGATACTCAGAGATGACAGATACACTCTAGGCTAGTCTCACCTCCTAGTAACACCACAAAGACTGAAATCATCAAAAGCATCCAAGTGGTATAGGACATTACAATTTGGTGCAGTTTGAAAGCTGTGACAGCATTAGCCACTGAGACAGGCAATATTTAACAGCATGGGTATAGTCCTATGCTAACAGAGTGAAAATGTTTCTGAATTGGAAGCAGCTTCTGAAAATCAACTAGAAGATTATGTTAACACGTGACTCTGCGCCCAGCCACATAGCCATGTCTTCAGCACCTGCGTCAGTTAAACGCTTGTAGACTACCACTATAAGGTGCAAGATACAACTTCACAAAAAATAAAGTCAATACAACTTGGACTTTTGTAAAGGTAGATGGCATAAGCACTTTCCATCTTTTATATTCACTCTAGTAATAAATAAATAAATAAATAAATAAAATAATAATTACAACTGATATTACTTGAAAAGGAGAAAAATTAACGACGGTCACTTCTAAAGGGAAGCCAGGAAAGAACAGCAGTGAAACACAATTTGGGAAATAAGCATGATTTTTAGACCACCCATTTGAACAGTTAAACAAAGATATTTTTTTTTTCAGCCAATCACAGATATTAAAGACAACTACAGGTGAAAAAATAAAATATAAACAAAATCACTAAAACATTACACCTAGCTTAATTACTGATCACATGAAGCACACTTATGTCTGTTGTCCCTGCAAATTTAAATCTCCAATCTACAAGGTGATATTCTTACATTTTCATAATAAGGGTCAAGAATCCCAAGTATCCTCAAGCCAATTTAAATGATGATCTTCGTTTTGTTTTTTTTCCCTCCTATGGTAAAGTTTATAGGGATTTATAAGGCTCAGCTGATAGCACCTTCTTTTTTCTGTCTGGATACCATGGTTTTCAGGGTGTATGTAGTGCTGATGTAATCATCACAAAGACAGCATGACTCTTCATCCCTTGCTAGCTGCTGGTCTACACAAAACATTAATCAGTCTGCTAAAACTGCAACTTAGGGAAAGCTGGTCCTTTAGTCAAAGCATTAGACTCATTCTTTCAGCCCTGAAGCTCTTAGGGTTACATCCCCCACTGAACAAACACTTGAGCAAATTTCCACATGAGGGTGCAGAGTTAATAACATCAAACTTTGGAACATGTGTGAAACCAAAATCCCTCCTGCTCCTCTCTTGATTTCTTTTAGGGCTGCTAACAAAGATCTCATGGAGGATATTTTTCAATAAAATTTGTTTCCTATCTAACACTCTCTTTCGCATTAAATAACGCTATCACCAGTCACACTCAAAGTGAGGTGTTAATGATAAGCCCAGAGAGAACTTACGGTGCAGTGACATTAAAAAGCCAATACACTGGGGTCCTGCTAGTAAGAGGCATGACCTAAGCCCCTCCTGTTCTGTGAATTGCTTGAGAACCTAGCAATTTGAACTTTTACAGTTCTGAAAAGACCTGGAGAGACATATTTGCTTTTGTGAACAACTCCTGAATGAGCTTGAAATTACTTTTCAATTGGAAGTTGAAATTTCAGGAGGAAAAAGGTAAACATGGCAGCATGCCTTCAGTTATAAGTACATAGAAACTTGGCAACCTGAAGTCAGCATCAGAGGTTGGGTAACCCCTGGAACCTGATGATCGGGCATGATAAGGCTCACTGCAGTTACTAGTTCAAATCAAGCTCCTTTTAGTAGTGAAAGAGAGTTACAAACATTGCATTTGATTGATGAATTTATGCACCACAGAGTAGATTGTGAGAATACATGGAGTATTCCACTCTCAGGACCAGATATTTGCATTAAATTGATTTTAACATTAAGTGCAAAAAATTAAACAGACACAAAAGCACACGCGCACACACACACAAAAAAAAAAACCTCACAGTCCAATTCACCAAAGACTACCTTTCTTTTTCCCTACTCAACTAACCATCTGAACAATGAGTGTTAGCAAGCACATGGACTAGACTTACTTAAGTCAATGAGATTAAATTCACATCTATGAATAGTCACATACTTAAAGTACACAATTTAACACTGATTTGAAGGTAAGAAATGGAAATTCCCTGGTTTCAGAGTCGCCAACCAAAGTGACTGCAAAAGGGCCAACTCTCACAAAGGAGAGGGAAGGAATGCTTTGTAAGCACTAAGCAGACAGTTAATAGTAATAGCCCAAAAAGTCATAAGTATTAGAAACACAAGATTCCCCCAGGAAGCGTCTTGACAAAAGCTCCATTTTGCCCTTACTGACGTGCCTCCATGCCTCTAAAGGAATCTGCTGTAGAGTCAACAGCTGACCTTGCTTGATGGAACTGGCAGGATCCATTACAGTATCCACCATAAAAGAAAAAACAGCTATACTGACCTCTCTCTTCAGTCTTGGGGCTTAACTCTTTTTCTTCCTCATCGCTGCTGGAGCTCTCTGTTTTTCCCTTCATTTGTTCCAGCTGATCCAAGTTAACCCGTCCAACCAGCTCAAAATTACGACTCACCTTAGAAAGAAACAGTTTTGTCAACAACTAACACCATCACCAACTATTGAAAAAAACAACCCACCAACAAAAACACCAACCACACATGCAAAACAAAATCCAACAAAACAAAACCTATTCCTACAGCTACAGGCTGAAATGGGAAACTTATCAGGCATCTAGTCAAATTAACATTCATTTCTCTTCAAACAGAATTATATTCACTGCTAATGATTCTTCTTTCCTGTTTTATACTAAATTTCCCCATTCTGCTTCTCAAAATGATCCTGTTATTCAAGAAGCCTCCCTCATTTCAAAGCGTTGAAAGTAAAAAATCCAAGCAAGTGTAAGCACTCCATATTGTATCCCCCTTTCATGGGGGTGTAAAACTGATGGATCAAACATCACTATCGCACACCATCACTGTAGAAAAATCCTTTGTGAAAGGTTTATTCAGCTTCATGCATGAAAGGATGGGTCCTTTACTAAGCGCGTGGCTGCTGTGTGCCACATATACTTTCACTCATTAATAACAGATTAATTTTCAGTACAAAAGGCTGGAAAGTGCTTTGCAAAATGATTTACAGACTATAATGGGAACACTTCACCTAGAAGTCAAAGCTGGCTAAACCTTGGGTGAAATGCATCAGCTATTTAACAGCTCTCAGCAACACTATGTGAATAGCAGCTTAGGACAGGGAAGTCCACCATATCCAACAGAAATAGCACAGGCAGAAAGTGTGGAACATGACCAGGACACTAGGGCTAATGCCAGTGCCCCTCTGAGCCCACTGATCACTGCTGGACCAGGATTTTAGATTCACCATGGAAAAATACAGCCTTCTAGAAGCAGGGCATTGCACCACTGAACCAGAGAGGATGGGGAGGGAGGAATGAGTGCAGTGCAACACTTCCTGCAAGATGTTGAATGAAATATCAACCCTTGGTAGAAGGTGAATGAAAAAAATTAAGGAGCATGTAACTTAAGACAGTAGCATATCAGCAAATAGCAAGCTACCCTAAATGCAGTAATGTGTTAGTATCAGGTTCCTAGAACTGCTCAGTACAGAGCTGTGTTGAGATGCTGTGACTTAACAAGTTACCCATTAGATTTAAACAAAGAAGACCACATGCAAGGCACTTACTGTGACTCAGTTCATGCACAGGAACTCTTTAAGCTGCAGTAAATTAACTGTGCACCTGAGCCCAGAGACTAGACACAGATTAGCCAGATAACATTTATAAATGATGCAAGAAAGATAAGGGGGAAAATAACCCTTACTACTGGGAGTAATCACTGAAGTTTATTATTGGAGGGAAGGGAGACCGAAGTAGAGGGAACATATTTTCAGCCTGATGCACTCAAAGGAATGGGGAATAGTGCTTCTTGGATCTCCCAGGACCCTTGCTGCGGTCACTGGGAGATGTGGAACATCTCAAGTACCAGCTAAACCGTAGAAAGATTCTCAAGTAGCAATAAGGAGCAATAAAGAAGGGAGACAAGCATAACAAACCAACATAAGTTCATCGTGTTTGATTTTAAAATGCAGTCAAATACTTGTAAAGAGTAAAAAAAGTTTCTGGTACTTTTGACACTCATTTTGTCAATATTATTTTTTGGGAGTGGAGAAGCATTGTTCAGTCAACAAAGTGGGAACAAGTTTTTAGTGAGGACTGGGTGCTCAGCTCATGATAGCTGGAGTCAAAGAGCTACCTCCCCACAAACTGTGACAAAAAAATACTTTGTAAACATGCCTCAGTTCTAGAGTTTTGGTTCTCTCACAGCAACACAACTGAGAACTATAGAAATCCAAAGCTGACAGAAGTCTGTGGAAAGTTTTCTAGTGACTTCTCCAAGTATGAATCAGGTCTGCACTCAGGAAGTTCCACACAAACACCAAAGCAGCCTTAAATTAAGCAGCAAGTATAACAAGCTCCTATCTTTCCCTTTTTAAATGTAAACTGGAATGTATTGCCCTGTTTTATTAAAATATGCATGGTATGTCACTTTGTCCAAATTGCCAGAGCAGTCTTATGCTCTGGAATCTCCTACGTTTTAGAGGGGATGAATCACACAGCTTTAATGTTGTTTCATAACTTAAAAAACCCTCACAATATCTACAAATGCCTTTTCCAGATAATTGTACTCTACATTGAATAGTCAGCAAATTCTGGTCAATCTGAACAGCTTTAGAAATCCACAATCTTAAATTTCTGAAAAAATACAGAACTTCAGAGAAATTGAAGTCCAGCACAGGAGCCTTCTCCAAATTTTGGAAGAAAACAAAAAAAGCAGGTTAGCTAATCAGAGCTGACATGCAAGTAAACTAGACATAGCATTTGCAAGAAGTAGATTGCTACAAATTAAATCCCTTTGGATGTTACCTTGTGCTCATCTCGAAGATGAGCGTCCAGCTCCTCTGTGTGTTTGGTCTCATAGTAGCAGAGCTGGCATTTGTAAGGTTTCAGTTCATTGTGCTTCTCTATGTGCTGCTGCAAGCTCTCATCACTGGAGCAGGTAAAGGTACACTTATCACAGCGGAAAACAACTCCCTGCAAGTATTTTGACAGTTTGGAACGGCAGACTTCAATGGGAACAACCCGCTCTTCTGTGGGGAGAGGGGAACATTTATTAAGTTTTAAGAAATAAAAACCATCAGACAATGTGTCAATAGCTTGGAACATACCACCCGTGCAAGAAACGGGATCTGCTATTTGTGTATGCAAACCTTCTACTAAGGACCATGAGCTAAAATTGGACCAATGAAGAAACACAAGTAAATTCCCTTTCCATACAAATAGGGTTAATTTAACAACACTACAGACATAGGTGTCCTTATAAATGTAACCACTCATTAGGTGAACAAGATGGGAAGAAGAGATTTGGGGCAGATAATAATCCATTTGTGAGTAGCAGAGTCTAAAAATATAAAAGCAGCCGTAAAACAGTCGGACCAAAAGTCCATTCTTGTTCAATACCTGACAGCAGCCAGTAACAGGTGCTAGAACTGTAACAGGGAGTATTTAGGGAGATTCCCAATGAGTCACCCTCCAAGCTTCCAACAATCAGAGCTGGTATCCTCACCATCACATTTAAAGCTACTCATTGGGGGAACGAGGAGTTGTATGGGGCACAACCTTTCTCCTCCTGAAGGTGGATGTGCAGAACTCAGCCAGGGGCAGAAACTTTCAATACACCCTCAGCTTTTTAATAGTTAAGATTCAAAATCCATACATACATTTCATGCCTCCCACAATTCAGATTATGCTATAAGCATGTACTGAAAATGATCTCATTGAGTTATGAAACTCTCTGCTTACTTCATCTCATGTAAAACACACACATTCAATGGGACAGCACAATTTCAGTCTTTCTTCAAAGCCAGAATCCTGACGTGTATAACACTCATCCACTGTGATTCTCTGAACTGTGCATGCAGGGGAAATCCCAAATTTGACCTTTCAGCAGAGGGTTACCAGAAGGTTTTCACTACAGCTTTTGTTACTTAACTGGCCTTTTGAACCAGAACACTGAAATTTAGTAATGTTATTCCTTATGAACTGCAGATTAAAGGAAGAGTTTGATCTTCCTCATGCAGGTCATCATTAATGACATCTACAAACAAACAACCAACAAATCCCAGGCCAGTCTCCCCAGGGGACTTGCGTGCACTGACATATCTCACAAAGGTATGAATCTGAGCCAATGGGCTCTTTTCTTTAGTAAAGAGAGTAATGTCATGTCCAAGGACAATTATAGGAATGCAAAGTCCCTTAAACTTTCTATAGGGAGGCAAGAGCTACAGAATTCATCCATTTGTCTTTGGCCAATGCATAACCCCCACTGTTCATGAGCCTAATTTTCCACAGTCCATCTAAATACTCCACCCTACTCAGTTTCTTCTCCTCCTTGTCCTCCCCCCTTTTTTTTTTTTTTGAAACATGGAGATTATCCTACCTCAGGACATTCTCTTTGTCCCCTTAAAAAGTAGAAGTTTCCCCCAAAGCTATACCTGAGTGAGACCCTGAAAACCTGTGGTTTATTTATAGCTAAAGAAGCTATTGCAAAAAATGCTAAGTTGCGTCCATTCAGGGTCAAGGGGGAAAAGTGTGGGGGGGGAAGGTGCATGCTAAGAGATAACAAGATTTAAAGCTGCGATTCTGGAAACATAAGATAACAATTTTAAATGGTTTTTACAGCTCTGTGCAGTTAGATTCCCTGAAATAAGGTAGCTTGTTTTTAAAAGTGAAAAAAGGCCCAATAAAAAGTTTTAAAAAGAGAAACACTATATAAACCATTTGAAAATTAGATTTTTTTCTAGCATATGGCACATATTAAAAAACACTAAAGCAAGGGATAGTATAAAAGGTTTTATCCACCACTTTGGAACAATGTAGCTTTTCCTAATTCACATCAGTAAAACCTATCATCTCACAATCACCCCCCACTCCCAAATCACAGGCAACACAAAAACATGAGAAAAGTAAGAGAAATAAACATACCACAATTTTACCCTGAAGGATTTCACTTTCTAAGTTAACTGTCAGGGCTCTGAGGGCACTAATAGGCCTTAACAGCTCTGAGCAGCCTCACCTGAAGCCCCTGCCCATGGGCCCAGGAGCTCCATTTAAGCTCAGCCCTGGGCTTTCAATCCTTGTCTGAGCTATGTTGGAGAAATAGTGCTCTCCTGCTCAGCCACAGCCTGTCCCTAGCCATGAACCCTGTTGATCCAGACTCTAACCCATGGACTGACTTCCCAGCTGGCCTTGAACCTGTCTCATTACTGTAAACTTGCCTGATGATCTAGACTCTTGGCTGAACCTGGCTATGATCTCTGGGTTTGCCTTGCTTGGGTACTGTGAGATCAGGCCCTGGCTACTGGTCATGCTATCCCCCTCGGCTCCTAGCCCTTAGGAAACAGCTGGCCCTCACTGCTAACTGACAGTAACAACTTAAAACTTATACATGTATGTATTCATGTCAGTGAGCTTCCTTCAAGCAATGAACTTGGAACTTGCAGAATGATTTGAATCCAGAACCTCATATTTCACAAGGTGATGCTCTAATCTATGACCATGCTAATAGTTGTTTCTCATCCCTACAAAGTTCTCTATATTTGGCTACTCATTTAGACACACTTATCATAGCTCAGCAACTGACAAAATTACAACAAACTGTGAACCTTATCCACAAATTGCAAAATTTAGCTTCTGCTTCTGTGCAAACCTTCTTCAAAGTTCAGCAGTGCCTACAAAAAGACTACCATATATGCATCATAAAAAGATGACACACTGTGAAACAGTTTATCAAAAGTGATAAAGAGGGAAAAAAAACACCCCAAAAGCATCATCTCTGAAGAAATTCATTCCCTGCTTTAGATGGAAACATTTGGGCTAATTCTAATACAGATCTGAGATTAAATGGAAAAGCCATTACTACACTAGATACTTATAGTATGTTAAGTCAAAGCAGGCATATATGTTTTCCTCACAACATAAAAAAGGCTATAACATGTTAAAGTGCTTAATTCAGAATCACAGAATAGTTGAAGTTGGAAAGGACCTCTGGAGACCATATGGTCCAACCTCCCTGCTCAAGCAGGGTCACCTACAAAAGGGTGCCCAGGATCCCGTCCAGATGGCTTTTGAATATCTCCAAAAATGGAGACTCCACAAACTCTCTGGGCAACCTGTTCCAGTGCTCAGTCACCCTCACAAGAAAAAAGTTTTTCCTTATGGTCAGACAGAACGTCCTGTGTTCCAATTTGTGCCCGTTGCCTCTCATCCTGTAACTGGGCACCACGGAGAAGAGTCTGGCCCCATCCTCTTGACACCCTCCCTTCATATACATATACACGTTGATCAGATCCCCCCTCAGTCTTCTCTTCTCCAGGCTGAACAGTCCCAGCTCTCTCAGCCTTGCCTCATATGAGAGATGCTCCAGTCCCCTAATAGACCTCCAGTCCCCTAGTAGACCTTCGCTGCACTCACTCAAGCAGGTCCATATCTCTCTCTCTTGTACTGGGGAGCCCAGAATTGGACACAGTACTCCAGGTGAGGCCTCACCAGGGCTGAGTAGAGGGGAAGGATCACCTCCCTCAACCTGCTGGCAACACTCTGCCTAATGCAGCCCAGGATACCATTGGCCTTCTTGGCCACAAGGGCACATTGCTGGCTCATGGTCAACTTGGTGTCCACCAGGACTCCCAGGACCCCCAGGTCCTTCTCTGCAGAGCTGCTCTCCAGCAGGTCAACCCCCAGCCTGTACTGGTGCATGGGGGTTATTCCTCCCCAGGTGCAGGACCCTGCACTTGCCTTTGTGGAACTTCAGGAGGTTCCTCTCTG